ACCACAGTAAGCAATCTAAATTATTTATTTCTATGATGATGATATTATATAAGGATAATAAGAAATATTTTAGGGTCCACATCTGCGGGAATATGATTCTGCCATCTGGCTAAAACAGTAGAAATGTGAATCAATTTCTGAATGGCTAATTTTCCTTTATTTTCCATCTTGGGAAACTAACTTTTAAAACATTGTGTCAGAAATGACAGATAGTTCTTGACTTACAACCATTTATTTAATGACTTCCAAGAAGTGACTTAGAACTTGCCTTTTCACTTATAATCTTTTTGCCATGGTTGTTAAGTGAATCACTACAATTGCAAAATAAATCACATTGTTGTTAAGGAAATCTGATACTCCCATTTTCTTTGATTTATTGGAAGCTGGCTGGAAGGTCGCAAAGAATGAACATGTGATCTTGGGACACTGCACCAAGCCAAGCACCCAAATTTTGGTCACATGACTATAGGAATGCTGCAACAGTTGTAAGTGAAAAGGCAAGTTCTAAGTCACTTCCTGGAAGTCATTAAATAAATGGTTGTAAATCAAGAACTATCTGTCATTTCTGACATAATGTTTTTAAAGGTAGTTTCCGAAGATGAAAAACAAAGGAAAATTAGCCATTCAGAAATTGATTCACATTTCTACTGTTTTAGCCAGATGGCAGAATCATATTTCCGCAGATGCGGACCCTAAAATATTTCTGATTATCCTTATATAATATCATCATCAAAGAAGGAAATAATTTAGATTGCTTACTGTGGTCCACATGGAATCTTTACACCATTTTCCCTTCTGCAGTAGCCTTCGTCATTCCTTCCTTGGTTATATATATTATAACATTCATCTGGAGCCACGTTTGCATCTTCAAGAGGGAGTAAGAAACCAAGACAAATAATATGAATGTATAACATGCCAGCAGGATAAAGAATAATTAAGAGATTCCAGAGGATTAAAGAAACTATAGTTAATATTTGTTTATTTGTAAGCTACAATTTTGTAACTCATTATTTATCTAATCCTCATTATGCCTGAATCATTCTCTATCTGATACAGTGCTACACTAAACTTCCTTATTGAATTTTATGGCACAAAAGCTGAAGCCACTTTTATGCCTCTTGCAGAAGATCATGCAGAAAATCTATGGCTGGAGGGGAATCTGAATGCAGTTTCATTCCTCTGTGTGCTCATTCTCCATTTTCCAACTTTAACACTGTTGTAGAAATATCCCTTTGCTGGAATGTAGTGAGGAGGGGGATCCCTTGGTGGGAGATGATGCAGTCCAGATAAGTAAGAAGCAATTCACGCACCACAGATATTACATGTGAGAGAACAAGGGTGAAGACAGATGCTCTCTAATAGTTTACAGACTGTATTGTATGCAGACAGTAGAGTCCTTAGTCCAGCAAGATTTTGTTTACAGGAATGAAAGAAGAAAGAACTCAGCGTGGAAGAATCATCATGTGTTATTCTTGATTTGAGACCTGGGTATAAGCCTTTTTGAATATAGCTGGACTACTTGCAAAAGATGGAGGTATTATNATTGTAATTGAACAGAATGGAGTAATGAGAGGATGTTTGTTTGCTTATCTCTTGGGTTACTTACAATATAATAAGAAGTTAGAAATTGCTAAAAACAATTATAATTAGAATAAAAGCTAAAAACCAAGATGATGGGCAGCCTGGGGGTGACAATTGCCTCTTCCTGGTCAGCCATCCCCAACATAGCAGGCCCATGTTGAGGACGCAGTCCAAGAGGCAGAACAGGTTCATAGGCTGTTCCGGGAGGTCAGAATTCTGGGGGCAGACCACACTTCTGATAAATATTGCCATGCAGAGAAGGCTTTTCTCCTGCACCTGGACAGCCAAAAGTCTTTGGCTGACAGAATCTGAAGCAGGCCCTTTCCACCAAAGCACTGGGGCAGGTCAATCCAACAAGGTAAAGCAGTTCCACTGATATCTTGTTCCTTTGTCATAAAGGGCTTTAAAAGTAATGACCAACTGCTTGAATTGGGCCCTGAAGCAAACTGGCAACCTGTGCAACTTGTGTAACAATATGGTCCCACATGCCATGTTCCAGGGGTCTCCAGCACTCTCAGCGTCATTGCCTTCTATACTTGTTGTAGCTTCTAAATGCTCTTCAAGGGTAGCCCTATGCAGTAGTCCAGGTGGGACCAGGGCAAGAGTGATGTGCTAACAATCTTGATCTTGGATTAACCTTTACGTGTTTTTGTTAAGTTAGAAATTGAGAACCAGAAGTTTGCTCAATCTCAATAGGAACTAGTTGCCTCTGACACATAACTCACAAGGTGTTTTGTAGATCACACTTCCTGCATCTCCAACTGGCTCACTGTGATTTCCCTGTTTTTAAGGATGAAGATGGTTGACTCAGGATTTTTATCTTAAGAGCAACTAATGCATCCGTTATCCACCTGGAAATCCCTTAAAGCCGATTTAGGAGACTTTAGAGATTTTCCAGATCTCTATCTTACAATTCCAATAATCTCTGATCAGTTGATGACAGGGGATGATGGGAGTTGAAATCTAAAGATTGACACTACAGTGTGTAATTGCCAAAAGAAGAATCTTGATTTATATACATGACTAAAAGATAATGTGGCTTATTGTTTAGTTTGGGTTCAACATGTGGTGCAAATTTGGCCATAGTGATTTCTAAATCATGATTTATAACTAAATGCAATTCATAAACACATCAACCAGGTGATGTCAGCCCAAAGGAAAAAGCTGGTTATAGTGTAGTTCTTGACTTATGACCACAAATGTGTGAAGAATTTCCATTTCTGAACAAGGCTGTTGGTAAGTGAGCTGCACCCAATTTTATAATCTTTTTGCCATGGTTGTTAAGTGAATCACTACAATTGCATTTAGTTATAAATCATGATTTA